TTGAATTCCAGTGGAAATTGGAAAATTTTATTATTTATGAAAATAATTGAATATTATCAATTTTTTGTGAAATTTTTATGAAAATACTACATATTGAAAATAATTGAATTTTGAATATTTTTTGGAAAAAATTAAATCGTTTTAAAGAATCTGATAATAATTTTTGAGAATAGTTTGTCTGACTAGTATTGTCATTTACTACTTTCACAAAAATTTAAAATGTCTGACTACTGTTAATTTTACTACTTACAGGAAAATCGTAAACCGTAAATTCAGTCTGACTTAAGTTATCTTTTACTACTGATTGAAACATTTCGAAATGTCTGACTATACGTGACTTGAACTACTGATAAAAAAAGTATTTTCAAAAAGTATTTTTTTAAAAGTACTTTCATAAAAATTAAAGACTATTTTATATTCTTAGAAAAATTGTGAACGTCAAAGTCAAATTTACAAAATTGCACTCCTGAAGAGGAAATATTTACCTTTCGTAAGGTTAGAGAATTACTAAAGAGATTTTCTACGATTTTACTCATACTTTCTTTGCCACATGGATCTTTTCGAATTTAGTTAAAAATTTGGTAAAATTTAGTAAAAAAGGAATTTAGTAAAATGTAGTAAAAAAAAGAATTTAGTAAAATGTAGTAAAAAAAAAGAATTTCGTAAAATTTAGTAAAAAAAGATTTTAGTTAAAATATGAAAAAAGTGAATTTAGTTTAAAAACGAAAGAATAAATTTAACTTAAAAACGAAAAGAATGGATCATAATTGTAAGTCACAATTGAGTGCCAGTTTTTTTATATGATACAAGAATAAAAAAAAATTTTAAACGCAATATCACTCAAGAGGTATCAGCATCAAGTTTTAGAAGTACTGGGGAATAATAACGGCGAGTGTCGAGCGTGGCCACACCGTGGTTCGCCACGCGAGATTCTCATTCCCCGGGGCTTCCCCTCGTTTACGAAACGAGTCACGCCATACCCTCCAAGCAGTCCTGTCTACCTTTTTCACCTACTGGCTTGCAGTACTATACTCGCTAGGTACACGATTGCGGCTAAGGTTGGGTGCTAGCTAGTACGTGTAGGTACATGAGTATCACCCTCGGTGCCAGTCGCTGAGGAACCATTAAAAGTCTAGCTATCCTCCTTCCCCTCATATGCCTTTAAAAAAAATTCACCTCTTTCTCTCTCTTTCTCTTTCTCTTCCTTCGCTTGTTGTGTAGATTTTTAAAATGTTTTACCCTCTCACACAGACAGACTCAGTGATCGAACTCTGCATTTCCTTGTTTCACACTTTCTCATTCTCCTGACGTTTTCCTGGCTTTTGAATTCAAGGTGGAGTTCCGTGTTAAAACTGTCGCATATACCAAAAGAATACAAAGCGACAATAAATTTCAGTGATGCACGTTATTCGAAAAATTGTCAAAGACAAGTGGTATGATTTTTTTTTGCCCTTTGGAGAAAAATTTTTATGCGATAAATGTAGTAGTTTCAGTAGCAAAAGATAACATAAGCCAGACTAAATTCTCAGTTTATGATTTTGTCATCAGTAGTAAAGTCAAGTTCAGTCAGACATTTTAAGATTTTTTTAAGTAGTAGAAGCCAACTCTAGTCAGCCTGAATAGTCGACTTCTGTTTTTTTTTTTTTTTGAGAATTTACACTATTAAATTCGCTAATACTAGAAATGAAAAAATTATTCTCAAAAATTATAATCAAATTCTTGAAATCGATTCAATTATTTTCAAAAAATATTCGAAATTCTATTTTCAATATCTAGTATTTTCATAAAATTTCGCAAAAGAACTGAAATATTTTTAAAAAATTTGATAAAATTCATAAAAAATTAAATAATTTTCATAAATAATAAAATTTTTCCAAAGGAATTCAATTAATTTAGAATATCGTTTTTAAAAAAAATTTTGAAAATATCAATTATTTAACAAAATTTTTAGACAATTCTTCACAATAATTCAATTACTTTCACTAATAATAACATTTTTCATGGAAATTCAATTATATTTAAAATAATTTTTTAATAAAATTCTAAACAAGAATTCAATTATTTTCAAAACTAATGAAACTCATAGAAGAATTTCAATTATTTTTATACTATTTTAAATTAATTAATGGAAAAATTCAATTATTATCACAAATAAAATTTTCGATAAGAATTCAATTATTTGAAATAAAATTTTTATAATATTTATTATATTTCGAAAAAATTAATTAGTTACAAACAATGTTCATAAAATTCTTATGATAAATTTAATTATTTTCAAAAATAACAAAATTTTTCAAAGAAATTAAATTCTTTTTAAACATTTTAATAAACTTTTGCGCCATAATTCAATTATTTTCATAAATAATAAAATTCATCACAAGATTTCAATTATTTTTGGAAAATTTAATAAAATTCTTAGCAATTATTTTCATAAATAATAAAAGTCATCACAGGATTTCAATTATTTTTAATAAAATTTTTCAATTCCTCGAAAAAATCAATTATTTAAAAAAAAAGTTTTTTTAAAATTCTTTGGAAGAAATCAATTATTTACAAAAAATAGTAAAATTCTTCCCAAGAATTCAATTATGTCGATGAATAAGAAAATTTTTCCTTGAAAAATCAATTATTTTCAGACATTTTAATACAATTCTTTGCAAAATTCAATTATTTTTGTAAATAACAAAATTCATGACAAGAATTAAACTATTTTTTAAATTAATACATTTTTTCTCGGAAATTCAATTATTTTAAAAAATTCTAACAAAATCGTTCGCAAGAATTTAATTATTTTTATGAATAATAAAAATTTCTCAGGAATTCAAATATTTAAACTAGAATTTGCATAAAATAAGACGAAAGATGAAATCAATAATTTAATTTTTATAAAATTCTTTATAAGAATTAAATTATTTTTATTTGTGTTTAAATTCTTTCATGAATAATAAAATACGTTTCAGGTCAATTGAATTTATTATCAGGATAAGAAAGAAGTAAATATTTTTCATAAAAATTAAGAAAAAGTCAGGAGAATAAAATATAGAATGGAATTTTTTGTCAGTTTTGTGTAGTTTCTAAAACGAGTTTTTTTAGTCGTCAAATTTAATTTCTTGATATCTATATTTTTTACTACTTTTTTAAATTGAAAGCTACTTTTTGATACTTTTTTAAAAATAATTATCGAGTGGGAAGTCTGCATTTTGACTTTTATAATCAGTAGTAAAAGTCAATATTACTGTTTTCGAATCTTTCTTTTACAGTTTCGCAATAGTAAAGGTCGTCTACAGTCGGACTTATTGATTTTTGATATAAGTAGTAAAAGTCAACGCGAGTCAGACTTCCATTCAAGATTTATTTAACAAACAGTAGTAAAAGTCAACGACAACCAGTATTTTTTACGTTTCAGTAGTAAAAGTCACATATAGTCAGACTTTTTAAATATTTGTTTCAGTAGTAAAAGTCAACCTTAATTTACACTTTTCTCATCAGTAGTAAAAGTCAGTAATTGTCAGACTTGATTCCACATTTAGACGTTTATAATCAGTAGTAAAAGTCAATATAGTTCTCGAATTTTTTTTTCCAGTTTGACAGTGGTAAAAGTCGTCTACAGCCGGAGATTTTTATTTTTAATACCAGTAGTAAAAGTCAATGTCACTCAGACATTTTTAATTATTGTGTGAGTAGTAAAAGTCAACGTAAGTCAGGCTCGATTCTCCATCTATTTTACAAGCAGTAGTAATAGTCGGACTTTAGTCAGCCCGTATCTTTAATTTTTACTTTTTTATCAGTAGTAGAAGTCATTTTAGTCAGACCTTTTTTAATATTTTAGTCAGTAATGAAAGTCAAGCTCAATTTTATTATACGAAAATTGTAATTAAATAATTATAATAACATTACAATTAAATAATTATGATAAAATTATAATTAAATAATTATAATAAAATTACAATTAAATAGTTATAATAAAATTATAATTAAATAATTATAATAACATTACAATTAAATAATTATAATAAAATTATAACTATCATTTAATTCAAATTCCTCTCGCCAAAAATCACCAATTATTTTTTTCGCCAACAATCTAAATCTGTATATAATACAGATTATTTTCGTTATTTTGTTTTGTCCGGTGTTTCGTTTTCACGCTCGTTGAATGCAGTGAAGAGTGCGAGAGTGAGAGAGAAAGAGGGGGAGTTGAAAATTTGTTAAAGAAAGAGCGGTATAAACGAGGAAATGAGAGAGTAACGAAGTGGGAGAAGGGGGGATGTCCCGAATGGTGAATGCGCAGCATATGAGGAGAGAGGAGCCTAGGTGGAATTGCGGTGAACCTCTGCGTATACCCCCTTTGGCCACCTGCATTTTGCCAGTTTTTCCACGACATATTTATTCTTGTTAACAAGTTTTTCACTTGTAAAAACAAAATACCCTTTTTAAGTTTATTAAATAATTATCAAAAAAAAAAAAAATACTTCCACCCTTTCTCGATACATTAGCGACGGTAATTTTGTTAATAAAGTTTTCGCCAAGGTAACCACATTTGCGAACTTTCGTCACGTTGCGAAATTGAATGATGTGTACAGTAACTTTAACGATACCCTTTTCCTTCAATAGAAAAAAACTTTCTCCCTTCTTTAAACAGGAAAAAAATTGTCCATTAAAATATCGAAAAATATTTTTTTGTTTCTGATTAAAATCCTTTTGGTTTCTTTGAAATATAACAATAACTTTTTTTTTCTAGATAAAAGTTTGTAATGCTAATAAATTATACTATTTTTTTGTTACTCTGATAAAAAATTATACTATTTTCTTTGTTACTCTGATAAAAAATTATACTGTTTTTTTGTTACATTGATAAAAAATTATACAATTTTTTTGTTACACTGATAAAAAATTATACTACTTTTTTGTTACAGTGATAAAAAAATATTGTCTTTAAGCGAATTCAGATAAAAGTGTTTCGATAATAAAAAATACTGAAATTATTTTTCTTGTTCTAGGTAAAAGTTTCACATTGACAATAACGGTGTCGACAAGTCCCCCTCAAGTAGCGACGTACAGTAAGGCAATAAAGGTGACTGTCGATGGGCCACGTGAGCCCCGCTCCAAGACCAGTGAGTATCACTGTAAGCATTAGACAATTTACTTATTATTAGCTTTAGAAATCTACGCTTCATATTTTTTTTGGCATTTCTAATTCAATTCCATTGCCAAGTTGTTTTTTTCCCCAAAAAAAAAATATTTTTCGAAAAAAAAAAAATTATAGAAACTATCGGGAGTCGAACGCAAACGTATAGTTCCGCCCGGTGGAGCACTCTAACCACCCAGCTAATTCACAATTACTTTCGAATAGTCCAAAAAGAACCTATTTTTTTTAAATTTATACTAAATTTACTACAGAAACAGTGGAAAAAACATTAAAATTAGTAAAAAAAAGAAATAGAAGATACAATAAAATAAAAAAAGAAGAAAAAGAACTAAAACAGAAAATAAAATAAAAAAGAAGAAGAAAATAGTAAAACAGAAAATAAAATAAAAAAAGAAGAAAATAATAAAACAGAAAATAAAATAAAAAAAGAAGAAGAAAATTGTAAAAGAGAAAATGCAATAAAATAAAAAAAAGAATTTAAGAAAAAGGAAAATTGTAAAAAATAATGAAATAAAAAAAAATAATAATAAGAACAACAAAAATTAGTGACTTCGGAGTAAAATTATAAAAATTCTTAATTGGAAAATTGCAAATTGAAAATAGAAAAAATGTATAAATTGGAATTAATTTCAAAAACTTTGCAAAAAGATGAAAACAGAAATAAATTATGCATTCGGTAGAGGAGAGATGTTTTCGGAAATCAGATATTCGTGGCCTATGAACAAATTCTCACAACGAGTTGTTCAAGTTGAGAATAGCTCGTGTGCGGTTCCCTCCGGTCGGCAGAGAAACCCACCTAAGTTCTCGCAATTGCCATTATTTATAACCGTGGTGAGAGAATAGCATTGATAAAGGGCTGTGGCGTGGCTACGGAAGATATTGTTGTAGCTACCGCCTACAAACTTTACACCATCTTAGAGTAGGACTCCTTACCTACGACTTCTGCCGAGACATACAATTACCGTTACTCTGTTATTTACCCCCCCCTCCCTATTTTCTCTCCCCTCTCACTCTCTCTTACTCCTCTCGTCCTCCTCCTCTCAAAATTCGAGACTAACTCTAATACTACATATCACTAAACATATTCAAACCAGATCAAGTTCTATATAATCGAATTGTTTCTATCGAATTCAATTTTTAAAGTATCTTTTAACAGTTAAAAAAAATAAAAAATTTTGAGTTTGACGAAATTATTTCCTTATGGCCCACGAGAAGTGTATAAATAATAATAATAATAATAATAAACAAATAAATAAACAAAAGAACGTTTGATATAAATAAAATTCAAAAACAAAATGTCATTTATTTACTACGAAATTAGTGAAAAACATTATTTATTAGTAAAATTCACTATTAAATTAGTAAATTAGTAAATTTTATTATTAAAATAGTTGAAAATACTATTCATTAGTAAAATTTAGTATTAAATTAGTAGATTAGTAAATTTACTATTATAATTAGTAAATTTTACTATTAAATTAGTTGAAAATACTACTTATCAGTGAAATTTACTAATCCAAAAACAAAAAGTCAGTTATTTCCTACTAAATTAGTGGAAAATACTATTTATTAGTAAAATTTACTATTAAATTAGTAAATTAGTAAATTTTTTGACTAAGTGAGTTGAAAATACTATTTATTAATAAAATTTACTAATTCAAAAACAAAAAGTCAGTCATTTACTACTAAATTAGTTAAAAATACTATTTATTAGTGAAATTTACTAATTCCAAAACAAAGAGTCAGTTATTTACTCTTAAATTAGTGGAAAATACTATATTTTAGTAAAATTTACTATTAAATTAGTAAATTAGTAAGTTTTTTGACTAAGTGAGTTGAAAATACTATTTATTAATAAAATTTACTAATTCAAAAACAAAAAGTCAGCATTTACTACTAAATTAGTTAAAAATACTATTTATCAGTGAAATTTACTAATTCCAAAACAATGAGTCAGTTATTTACTCTTAAATTAGTGGAAAATACTATATTTTAGTAAATTTACTATTAAATTAGTAAATTAGTAAATTTACTATTATAATTAGTAAATTTTATTACTAAATTAGTTGAAAATACTATTTATCAGTGACATTTACCAATTCAAAAACAAAAAGTCAGTTATTTACTACTAAAGTAGTCGAAAACACTAATTATTAGTAAAATTTACTATTAAATTCGTAAATTTGTAAATTTTATTAATAAATTAGTTGAAAGTACTATTTATTATTTACTACTAAATTAGTGAAAAATACAATTTGTTAGTAAAATTCACTATTAAATTAGTAAATTAGTAAAGTTTGATACTAAATTAATTGAAAATACTATTTATCAGTAAAATACACTAATTCAAAAACAAAAAGTCAAACTCTAATTGAAATTAGTAAACATTTTTAATTTTTCACTAATTCAAATTTAGAGTGTAGGGAAAACACACAAAAAAAGAAAAAGTTTCTTGAAATTGCATTAAAAATTTTTTGTTCTCTTTGTGCAAAATAGAGAAAACAGAGAATGTGTTTAAAAAAACTGATGTGTTTTAAAAAACAAAAGAATGTATTTTCTCTTTTTTGCAAATTGAAAAGATTGTTGATTCGGTGGTGCAAGCTCTTATAATTTAAAACGACTTAAGTGCCAAAAATAACTGGCTTTTAGTACAAACACACGTGAATTTTGCTCCCTCTGACGCCTGACCACATCCGTTTTAGCATCTGCGGACCACCCGCTAACGATTTTACGTATAAATTTCATTCTTTTGAATTTTTTAAAAACTCTTCTTTCAAAATTTTTGTCATTAAATAATAATTTTTTCTTTTGACAACAAAAGGTAGAAAACAAATTTATTTATTTATTTTTTTAATTTATTCAAAATAACCAAATTTTACAAAAATCAACTAAATTAATTAGTTCATTATTGTTATTATTTATTTGTTATCAAATTTGTTTAATTCTTTACCAAACATTTGTTTTTTTCAACCAAATATATTCTTAAGAAACCTTTTTTCTTTTAAACTTGTTTCTTTTAAACAATGCAATGAAAAATTTCACAATCGTTTGAAATTAATTTAAAACAATGCAATGAAATAATGAAAAATTTCATAATCGTTTGAAATTAATTTCAAACAATACAATGAAAAAATGAAAAATTTCACAATCGTTTGCAATTAATTTAAAACAATGCAATGAAAAAATGAAAAATTTCATAATGATTTCAAATTAATTTTGGTAACTAAAAGAAAAATATATACTTTGTACACTTCCTGAACTGTTAAAAATAAGCAAAGCGGTGCTTTAGATCTTCAGTGAAAATAAACCAAAATAAACCATTGGCCGAAAATGATGTAACGTTGCTTGGCATTAAAATTAAAGGGAGTCAACGGGTATAGATGAAAGGATAGAGAGGCTTTTGGGTGGGCCAAAAGTGCTTCTTTGATACCGATACCTAGAGACAGTAATGGGTACCTTTGCTTCTCTCCTCTCGCAAGTTTATTCATTTTCTGCAAAAAAAAAAAAATTTCCTCCAAATTACAAATTTTGCCTTCAACTTCATTCGACCTTTAACGAATGTAGATATTTATTAATTGTTTTCAATTAAGAAGATTAACTAATTTTTTTAATTCAATTAATAAGATTAACTAATTTTTTAATTTTGATTAATAATTACATTTTTTTACATTTATTTTTATTTATTTTCAGTTATACATATTTTTTAATTTTTTTATTTCTTTTTTTTTGTTGATAACATTAATTCAATTTTTTATTTTTAATCAACGAAATTAATTTACTTTTAATTTTTAATTAACAAAATTAATAAATTAGTTATTATTATTATTTATTAGTTTTTCATTTTTAATCAATAAAATTAACATATTAATTTATTTAGTTTTCATTTTAATTTTTATTGTTAATTTATAGTTTCAGAATTGATGATTTTTAATTTTTTTGAAATAGTGGGAGCAAATTGAAATGAGAGAGAGAGATTACGTTTGGGAATAATTTCTTGTACTGGTCCATGACGCGAAGATGGATGCGTCTTGGACTGGCTCGCATTGGGTCTAACCTAGGAAGGGTTGTAATTAATTAAACAAGCAATTCATTACACATTCAACCCTTCAACTTGACTCTAAAGGCGGTATAGAGAGGCCAGGCGTGGACTGCAAGGAAATTGATTGAAAAGGGTTTTCAAAGCCTCTCCAGAAGTTCTCTTTACTTTTCCAACTATCGAATAACAATAATATTTGTCTAATAGAAAATCGTCATTTCTGCAAATAATCTCCTCTTATTTTCTCACGAATACAAGAAAAAAGGTACAATTTTCTCAGAGAGTGTTAAATTATTTATTTGTTTCAAATTAATTTTATTTTATTTTTCTAAATCAATTTTATTTCTTTGAAATAAATTTTGTCTCTTTCAAAGTAATTTTCAAATGAATTTAAAATTCTTCGAAATCAATTTTATCTCTTTCAATAATAAATTTTATTTCTTTGAAATCAATTTTGTCTCTTTCAAATTAATTTTTAAATGAATTAAAATTCTTTGAAATCAATTTTTGTCTCTTTCAATAATAAATGTTATTTCTTTGAAATCAATTTTTGTCTCTTTCTATAATAAATTTTATGTTTTTGAAATCAATTTTTCGAATAAGTTTTATTATTTTGAAATCAATTTCGTTTCTTTGATATAAATTCAATTTCTTCGAAATTAACTGTTTTGCTCTTAAATAATTTTTTCCCGTTAAATAACTTTTACTTTATGCAATCCACGTGGAAAAATTCCCGAGAATTTCTCTTTACTATTTCTGGAAACTTCTCCAAAATGGGAAATAAATTTTATTTGCGACAAAAAATTTGTATTGCTCTCAAATAGATTTTTTAATTGAAACAAAAAAATCTTTAAACTCTAGAGACGAATTAACTTCTATTTAACACTAACTTTATTTCACTTGAATATATTGTATTTAACATTAAATTTTTCTTTTTTCGATTTAATATTGTTTATTATTGTTTGTCGATTTATTATAAAATTTTCTTTAATTGAAATAAAAAAATTTCTCTTGATGAAAAATTTTAAGAAAATAAAAATTTCGTCAGACTGTTTTTCCCTCAAACGAAGACGAAGAAGAAGAAGAAGAAGTAGCAAAAGAAGAAGAAGAAGAAATCTGGCAAATAGTTGCGGCGGGACATGAGAAGATAATTTCAAGGTTTTTACAGTGTGTCTCGACAGTTAGTACAAAATGAGAAACTGTCGTTGCCAGATGGTTAGTCGCGAGAAATTCCCTGGCATCTAGCAATTGTTAGAAGGGCGACAAAATGAAATCGATAGAAAAACCAGAAGATAGAATTATTTTTTTCTTTAATAGTCATTAAAAGCTAAGTTTTTAGTTTTTAAAAATATTTTACTAAATTTTGACTTTAAATTCGACAAATTTGATTTTCAATTCGACGAATTTGACTTTAAATTTGTAATTTTTTTCTAATTAGCCATATTTTTTGTTTCTCTCTCTCTCTCTCTCTCTCTTTCTCTCTTTTAAGAGAGAGTTTTATTTCACTGTCACCTGACCAATTAAAGGCGTCCCAGTACGGATTCGTACACAGCTTCTCTCTTTGTAACTATTGCCAGACACAGGGATCGTCAATAGGTTAGGTGATATTCGTTCGTAGCAATCTCCCAGAACGAATTAATACTGTCGCCGTAGAAAGACACAAGAGACCCAAAGGCTGAAGCCAAAATTGTGATAATCCAATCGAAGCCCTAATTCTAACTCGGCAACCCGAAATTCTCACCAGTTTGCTGAATAGGGAACGCGAACTATCGACACAATGGGCGTATATATGCAGAAATAGAATTGGTTCGATTTAACAAGATATCCGAATGTCGTCGCACTTTCAGGAGTTCAAAATTTCAGCGACACAAAAGAATTCTAGTAAAAGAAAATTTAATAAAAGAAATTAAGAAATTTCAATAAAAGACAATTCTGGTAAAAAAATGTGGTGAACAAATTTTTCGTAAAATAAATTACAGTAAAGAAATTTGTAATAAAAGAAAATTATAGTAGAAGAAATTTTAGCGAAAGAAAGTACAATAAAAGGAATTATGGTGAAATGAATATTAATGAAAAGAATTGTAGTAAAAAAATTGTAGTAAAAGAAGTTACAATAAAAGAAATTATAGTAAAAGGAAATTTAGTAATAAGAATTGTAGTAAAAAAACTGTAGTAGGTAAAAAAATTGAAGTTAAAAGGAAATATATAGAAAAAGCAATTTTAAAAAAGAAAAATATAGTAAAAAATTGCAGTAAAAAATTATAGTAAAAGCAATTTTAATAAAATAATGTAGTAGAAGGAATTTTAGTAAAAGGAATTTGAAAAGAAAGAATTATAGAAACAAAAATTGTAGTAAAAGGAAATTTTAAAAGAAAAAATTATAGTAACAATGATTTTAAAGAAAAAATTATAGAAACAAAAATTTTACTAAAAGAAATTGTAGTTAAAAAGAAGTATAGCCAAAGCAATTTTAATAAGAATTATGTCAAAAAATTGAAGTAAAAAGAATGATAGTACATGTAATTTTAATAAAAATAATTATAATAAAGAATTTGTATTAAGAAGAATTGTAGTAAAAGAAATTTTAGTAAAAATAATTTTGAGTAAAAAGGAAATTTTGATAACAAATAATTATAGTGAAAAAAAATGTAGTAAAAGAAATTTCAGTAAATGGAATTATAGTAAATGAAATTTTAATAATAAAAATTACAGTAAAAAGTTGTCGTAAAAGAAATTGTAGTTTATAAATCTACTGTCTAATAATTATTAATCATTTTCATAGTAAAAATTTAGCACTTACTTCACTATTAAATTAAGACAAAAAACGCATTAAATTGTTTTATACAACAAAATTTCCATTATAATAGTAAAAATCAGCTTTCGTCAGACATTAAAATTTTTATTGAGTTATAGTAAAAGGAATTTTAATAAAAAAATTTATAGTAAAAAAATTGAAGGACAAAGTATTTTAGTAAACGAATTTTAGTAATAGAAATTCTAATAAAAGAAAATTATAGTAAAAAAGTTATATAAAAAAAATTGTAGTAAAAAGAATTATAGTAAAAATTTATAGTAACAAGAATTGTAGTTAAAAAATTTATACTAAGAAGAATAATAGTTAAAAAACTGTAGTAAAATATTTGTATTAAAAAAATTATAATAATAAAAAAATGATAGTAAAAATTGTACTACAGAAAGAATTGAAGAAATAAAATTGTGGTAAAAAACTCATTAAATACAACTATAATAAAAAATGTAGTAAGAAAAGAAAAAAAAATTAAATAAAAAAGGAAAATAAATTTAGTGAAAAACACTGTCATTCGTTTAAAAAATTCGAATTGAAATTATTTCCTGTTTCAGAATTGGCTAATACCAAGTGTTTACGATCTCTTGATAAATTTAATAAATTATAGCTTTCAAGCATCGAATTCATCACGCCACCCCTTTTGCATGTAGATGAAAAGGGAGCCTGTTCTTGACTGTATTTCATTAGGTTCCACAATGCATTACATTTCAGTGTTGATTCCCTTATTGAAATTTATATTCTATGAAATTGTAAAACTAAAATCCATATGGGAAATTTTTCTGAACTTCGACTTTTTAATTAATTTATTTTTTTAAATTGTTAGGTTTTATATTGCAACTACTTTATTTCATACTCAAGAATAAGAATATAAAATTATAGTTTTCTCTGAAGAAAGTGCATTTCTACTACTTTTGCAGAAAAAAATGGAAAATTTTAAAATTTATGTCTGACTATACTTGATTTTTACTACTTACAGCAAAAACATAATATTTTTTCAACATTAAGGATATTTTTCAATTTTTATTAATTTTATCGAACAAATTTAATAATTTTTATAGTTCCGTCTTACGAAAGATAATTTGTACTATTTTCTGCAACTAATTTTACAAACTGTATTAAGTTCGACTATAATTAATTTTTTTGCACTACTTTTGTAGAAATAAACTGAAATTTTACTATTTACGTCTGACTACAATCGATTTACAGTACTATAATTGAAATTTTCATATTTATGTCTGACCATAGTAGATTTGTACTACTTAAAACAAAAATACAATTTTTTTTTAAAATTTCTTTTATTATAACTCAATAAAAATTGTAATGTTTATTACATGTTTAGTTTTACTACTTGAAATATTAATAATAAAAGAATATAAAATTAGTTTTGTCTGACTATATTCGATTTTTACTACTATAATTAAAATTTTTTTCTATAAATCAATTTAATGATGTTTTTTGTCTCAATTTGATAGTGAAGTAAGTGATAAATTTTTACTATGAAAATGGTTTTGTAGATTTTATAAAATTAATCAATCAAAAATGTCACGTTCAGAAGAATCATGCATATATTTTATATATCCTGAATGAGTATAATATATTTTTAATTTTTATCGTTTATATATTAAGGCAATATCAGTTTTAAAAAAAATATTAAAAAAAATTTTTTTTAAATAAGGCATATTAATAGTATTAAGAAGTAAATTGTTTTAGGTAAGTTTAGTAAAATAGTTGTGAATCTTAAGTCCAATGGACAGGCGCACGGTTGATCGCAGTGTTATCTCTTTTAGGGAACCAGCATCAGTACGCTCATGCATTCGCCTTTGCGTCACAGCGTGGTCCTTTTTTTACTGGCCCTCTGGTGGATCCACTTCAGCCTCTGTCGAATCCCCTTCAACCATTAGCGAATCCTCTACAACCACGGGATCCGCTCTCGTCATTTCGACACGCGATGCCTGGCAATTGTCAAAGTAAGTCAATTATTTTTTACACAAAAACTAAAAATTATTCATTTTCTTCTTAGCTTAGAGTTTTTCTAAGAATATCAAAGATTGAGAAAAAAAACGAATCAGAATGTTGTTTCGCAACACTTTTCGTTTTTCAATTCGTTTTATGTCTCAATTTTGATATCAAAAAACGAATCAAAACGTTCGTAAACCAGGAGTGCGTTCACTTTACTAAAAATAAAAATATTTGAGTCAAAGAATGAAGATTTTAAAGAGAATGTCAAATTTTTTTAATAGAAGAAAAATACTTTTCATAATTGACTTTAACTTTGATTTTCGATTTGATTTAGACTTTGATTTACACTTTGATTTTCCAAAGGTAATAAAATTTTTCATTGTAACAAAAGTCAAACGTTAATGTGTTATATTTACATAAAAACTTAGTTATTGAAACTAGAGTCTCAATAACTGAAATCAAATTGATTAAAATCAAATAAAACTAAAATGTAAAAATTGAGAAAAGTTGACTCCAATAAGATAAGACATTATCATCATATAGAGTAAATTTTGGATCCTGTCCCGGTTGTTAGCGAGACAACTAAAGCTCGCTTTCGTCGAAGCAAGGTATCCGAGAATGCTTCCGATGCTTCCCGCTTTTAGTAGCTAAAGGGTTATAGCGCGGAGATAGGCCTCAGAGCTAGCATCGCCGTTCCAGAGGCGGAAACCGCAAGCCTGTTCAAAGCTAGATTAAATATTATATTAAAGGGGTTGCCGCGAACTCCAACGGGGTTTGGGCGAGCTTGCGAAATCCCTCACTCCATTTCCCACTCAACATATATTATTACTCCTAGATATGAATTTCTACACTGCATCTCCAGATTTTGAGGAATATACTTTTCATCCTTCATCCACGTGTAATTAAAACCCCTCAGCTAAAAGCACTATGTACGCAGATATAATATTATTCATACTCACCATTTTTCCCCCCTAAAACGATACTTTTAGTTTCATATTGTCTTTTTTTTATCATCATTTAATAATAAAAAAGAAATACCAAACATTGTATCCTTAATAAAATTTCTCAATTGTATTTTAAAATTCAATAGTTTCAGGAAGCAGTTATTTTCCAATATTATAACCGAAATATTTTCCTTATCGTATTAATTCGTTCCGAAGGGGTGAAAAATATTTCCAATATTTTTTCTCCATTCCCAATAATTTGGAAGGTAAAAATCACTTATTTAATAATATGCAGGAATAAAAAATAATCTACTATTGCATAGTTTCTCTCGAATTATTAAATTCTTCCTGTTATCAGTAAATTAAAATCTAAATTTATATTTTTCATAATTATAATTAATCTTTGAGATATTATTAATAATTAAGTGTATTAATCTCCGTGTTCTTCTATTCATTATGTTTGCAGTTCGAAGTTAATTTCTGTGTACGCTTTTGTTTTAATTTCTTTAAAAAATATCGTTTAAAAAATCGAAAATATGCAGAATTTTCATGATTTGTAATAAAATAATATTAGAAATTAGAAAATGTTAAAAAAAGGTGCCGTGTAGCTAGCGACCCGCCAACCGCCAGACGCCTCAAAAATCCATAGCCGTCGCCATTGAAAAATTCGAAATGATCAATTCTTCATTTTTTCTTCTTCGCAATAATTTGTTTCACTATAGAGTTAAATACAAATATTCTACAAACATAATTTAACATATAAATCAATTGTTTATTAAAAAATAAATTTTTTATAGTTCTTAGCTTCTCAAAGCTCGAAAATTCGATTGTCTGCTAATTGGCGGATGGAGTATTTTGACTAGTAATTTTGCCAAAATTTTTTTGCTAAATGAAATTCTTGTAAATAAACATCTAAGGAACAATAGGCAACAACAAAATCAATGGTTTATTAACAATTGAATTTTTAAAAGCTCTTAGCTTCGCAAAACTCGAAATTTCGATTGTCTGCTAATTGGCGGATGGAAAATTTTGACTAGTAATTTTGCCAAAATTTTTTTGCTAAATGAAATTCTTGTAAATAAACATCTAAGGAACAATAGGCAACAACAAAATCAATTGTTTATTGAGAAATAAATTTTTAAAAGCTCTCAGCTTCTCAAAACTCGAAAATTCGGTTGTCTGCTAATTGGCGGATGGAGTATTTTTACTAGTAATTTTGCCAAAATTTTTTTGCTAAATGAAATTCTTGTAAATAAACATCTAAGGAACTACAGGCAACAACAAAATCAATTGTTTTTTAACAATTGATTTTTTAAAAGCTCTTAGCTTCGCAAAACTCGAAAATTCGATTGTCTGCTAATTGGCGGATGAAGTATTTTTACTAGTAATTTTGCCAAAATTTTTTTGCTAAATGAAATTCTTGTAAATAAACATCTAAGGAACAATAGGCAACAACAAAATCAATTGTTTATTGAGAAATAAATTTTTAAAAGCTCTCAGCTTCTCAAAACTCGAAAATTCGGTTGTCTGCTAATTGGCGGATGGAGTATTTTGCCTAGTAATTTTGCCAAAATTTTTTTGCTAAATGAAATTCTTGTAAATAAACATCTAAGGAACAATAGGCAACAACAAAAGAAATTGTTTATTGAGAAATAAATTTTTAAAAGCTCTCAGCTTCTCAAAACTCGAAAATTCGGTTGTCTGCTAATTGGCGGATGGAGTATTTTTACTAGTAATTTTGCCAAAATTTTTTTGCTAAATGAAATTCTTGTAAATAAACATCTAAGGAACAATAGGCAACAACAAAATCAATTGTTTTTTAACAATTGAATTATTAAAAGCTCTTAGCTTCGCAAAACTCGAAAATTCGATTGTCTGCTAATTGGCGGATGAAGTATTTTTACTAGTAATTTTGCCAAAATTTTTTTGCTAAATGAAATTCTTGTAAATAAACATCTAAGGAACAATAGGCAACAACAAAATCAATTGTTTATTGAGAAATAAATTTTTAAAAGCTCTCAGCTTCTCAAAACTCGAAAATTCGGTTGTCTGCTAATTGGCGGATGGAGTATTTTTACTAGTAATTTTGCCAAAATTTTTTTGCTAAATGAAATTCTTGTAAATAAACATCTAAGGGTCAACAGGCAACAACAAAATCAATGGTTTTTTAACAATTGATTTTTTAAAAGCTCTTAGCTTCGCAAAACTCGAAAATTCGATTGTCTGCTAATTGGCGGATGGAGTATTTTGACTAGTAATTTTGCCAAAATTTTTTTGCTAAATGAAATTCTTGTAAATAAACATCTAAGGAACTACAGGCAACAACAAAATCAATTGTTTTTTAACAATTAATTTTTTAAAAGCTCTTAGCTTCGCAAAACTCGAAAATTCGATTGTCTGCTAATTGTCGGATAAAGTATTTTGACTAGTAATTTTGCCAAAATTTTTTTGCTAAATGAAATTCTTGTAAATAAACATCTAAGGAACTACAGGCAACAACAAAATCAATTGTTTATTGAGAAATAAATTTTTAAAAGCTCTCAGCTTCTCAAAACTCAAAAATTCGATTGTCTGCTAATTGGCGGATGGAGTATTTTGACTAGTAATTTTGCCAAAATTATTCTGCTAAATGAAATTCTTGTAAATAAACATCTAAGGAACAACAGGCAACAACAAAATCAATTGTTTTTTAACAATTGATTTTTTAAAAGCTCTTAGCTTCGCAAAACTCGAAAATTCGATTGTCTGCTAATTGGCGGATGAAGTATTTCTACTAGTAATTTTGCCAAAATTTTTTTGCTAAATGAAATTCTTGTAAATAAACATCTAAGGAACAATAGGCAACAACAAAATCAATTTTTTATTAACATCAGAATTTTTTAAAACTATTAATTTCTCAAAACTCGAAAATTCGATTGTCTGTTAATTGGCGGATGGACTAGTAATTTTGCCAAAATTATTTTACAAAAATTCAGAATTTTCTTATCAGTTCTTAAAATTTTTTTTTCAGTACTTTTAATAAGAATTCCTGACTTTTCCCTTAATTCCATATATTAGAATATATGTTTATTATAATTATAATAATATTAAAACTATATATATATATATATATTCCAGTTCATATTTTATTTTTATAAAAAAAACCTAAATTAAAAATTCTTACGTTCCATCATTTTGAAAATAGATCATTTTATTTTTAAAAAAAGTGAGTGAGAAGTTGCTAGTAATAATATTAATGTATAAAAATTAAAGAGAGAGATAAAAAAATTGAGGAAGCTGTAGACATTGAATCGTGGTGAATGTTGGATATTTAGGGTTAGCCATGGTCGGCACGATGGGTCAGTGCGGCGTTCGTCGAGGCAAGCTCAGTTATTTGAGTTGGCTGCAACTACTGAGGGATGACCGATCCTTTGATCTCGTGGTGGACCCCTTGGCTCTGTCTAGTTTCCAGAACCCCTCCATTTTCCCCTACTTTTAACCCCTTTTCGCCAACACTCACTCGAAAACCAAACAGCAGCAGACAGTATTATATATAGTGAACAATATTGCCAAACCTGTCGATAAAAATCCAAACATGCACTTTTTTTTCCTATTTTTTTATAAACAAAAAAAAATTGTCACTGAAAAATGAATAAATAAAACTGTATGTGGTCTATTCTATCGGTCAATTGTCATTTTTATTTCAAATTGATATGGCTCTCATCACTTTCTGTCAGTGACAAAAACTGAAAACTTTATTTCGATTCGAAAAATTCCTTTTTGTTCTGTTAGTTATTATTGTTTTGTATTTAAAATTATATTTATATGAAATAAGTAAAATAATTTTGATAATAATTATTATTATATTTATTATCATTATTACTATTTATTTTATTTTATAACATTATTGTTACGAAGTATTAAAAATCAGCTTTCGTCAGACGTAAAAATTAAAAATGTTATTAAATTTCTATTTAAAAGTAGTAGAAGTAAATTTTTATCAGACAGAACAATTAAATTATCTTTTCCTTTCAGTATAAATAGTATAAGTTAATTTTTAGTCAAACAGTACATTTAAAAATTTAAATTTTTAACATGAAGTAAGTAGTACAAATTAGCTTCAATCAGACAAAAGTATTAAATCAGTTTTGAATTAAAAATTTTAAATAATAGTAGTAACAGTACGCCTTTAGTCAGACTTGATTTTTTCGATAATATTTCTATTCTAAGTGCAAAACAATGTGTTTTTCAAAAAATAATGTGAAAATTATTAAATTCGTTACATATTTTAATTGTAAAATATATCAATCTTAAAAAAATGAATAATTTGCTATTGTAAGTAGTACAAGTCAATTATAGTCAAACGTAAATATAAAAATTTCTATTTTTACTAATAAAAGTAAGTTTTGCGGTCAGAATGTTAAAATTTAACTTTAGGGACTTTACTCTCAATAAAAATAAATAAAGGCAGGAAAATTTTGTTAATTCGTTTAAAAGTTGTCGAAGTAAGTTTTGGTCACACAAGACCAATTTTATTTGCTTACCGATACCACTGAAAATTGAATTAATATTTTGAAATTGAATAAATATTCTGAAATTTATATTCCAAAAAAGAGGAAGAATGAAATATTTTCGAAAGTTTGGGATAATTTATGTAATTTATTTTTTCTTTTTCGGTTTTTCTTAGATATGTCGCAATTTGGATTGACTGCGGGCAATTCATGGGGTTATGGTAGCACTGCTGGTTATGCGGGTTATCTTCCTGGTCCTTTATCGTCGTGTGCGGCGCAAGCACCATTTCCACCGCCTCCGCCTCCACCACCGCCACCTCCGCCTCCGACGTCGTCTCTGGCTTCTTTCGCAGGTACTGCGTCAATGAACACACCCACCGCTCCCGATTCAACAGCCGGCTCAACTGTAACTTCCGGTACAAGTGGTACCACACCTCAACAAGACGCATTCTCCGCCGTATCTTCGTGTGAGTCAATTTTTTACTATTAATTTCCATCATTAATTTTTCATTATTATTCTTTCAGAATTTCCACTCCCGACACAATTTTTTCACATATTTTCTAAGGATATCAACAAATTTGTTGGTTCAGTAGTAAAAATCAGTTTTTGTCAGACAAAACATCAAGGTTTTGATACGTTTTTTGTATCAGATTAAAAAAATTATATTTAAGTAGTAAAGACCAGTTTTTGTCAGACACACTTTAAAGATTTTGATACGTTTTTGTCTCAATTTGAAAAATTTCTATTTCAGTAGTAAAAATCAGTTTTTGAAAAACGCAAATATCAACGATGTGATACTTCTTTTTTAGATCAATTAGAAAAATTTCTATTTAAGTAGTAAAAATCAATTTTCGACAAACAAAATATAAACGTTTTTATATGCTTCTTGTCGCAATTTAAAAAAATTCTATTTCAGTAATAAAAATCAGTTTTCGTCAGATAAAATATAAAAGTTTTGATAGGTTTTTGTCTCAATATAAAAAATTTCTATTTCAGTAGTAAAAACCAGTTTTTGTCAGACAAAATATATACTTTTTTTGTCTTATTTTGAAAAATTTCTATTTCAGTAGTAAAAATCAGTTTTCGTCAGACAAAATCTTAACTTTTTTATACATTTTTTGTTACAATTTGAAACATTTCTATTTCAGTAGTAAATATCAGTTTTGGTCAGACGGAATATTAACGTTTAAACATATTTTTCTTTCCATTTGAAAAAATTTTATTTCAGTAGTAAAAACCAATTTTCGTCAGTCAAAATATTAACGTTTTTATATGTATTTTGTCTCAATTTGAAAAATTTATATCTCAGTAGTAAAAATCAGTTTTTGTCAGACACAATTTAAAGGTTTTGATACGTTTTTATCTCAATTAAAAAATTTCTATTTCAGTAGTAAAAATCAGTTTTCGTCAGACAAAATCTTAACTTTTTGATACATTTTTTGTTACAATTTGAAAATTTCTCTGTCAGTAGTAAATATCAGTTTTGGTCAGACGGAATATTAACGTTTAGACATATTTATTCTTTTAATTTTAAAAAATTTTATTTCAGTAGTAAAGACCAAATTTAGTAAGACAAAATATTAACGTTTTCATACTATTTTTGTTACAATTTAAAAAATTTATATTTCAGTAGTAAATCTCAGTTTTAGTCAGATTGAATGTTAACGTTTAAACATATTTTTCTTTCAATTTGAAAAAATTTTATTTCAGTAGTAAAAACCAATTTTCATCAGACAAAATATTAACGTTTTTATATGTATTTTGTCTCAATTTGAAAAATTTTTATTTCAGTAGTAAAAATCCGTTTTCGTCAGACAAAATATCAACTCTTCTTTGTCTTCTTTTGAAAAATTTCTATTTCTATTTTCTTTCAATTTGAAAAAATTGTATTTCAGTAGTAAAAATCAATTTTCGTCAGACAGAATATCAACGTCTTAACACGTTTTTGTTTTAATTTTAAAAAAATTCTATTTCAGTAGTAAAAATCAGTTTTCGTCAGACAAAATATCAACATTTTGATACTTTTTTTTATCAATTTTAAAAATTTCAATTTTATTAGCAACAAAACATTTTTCGTCGCCCACAAATTTTAACGTTTTAATATATTTTTTGTATTGGTTAAAAAAATTCTATTTCAGTAGTAAAAATAAGTTTTTGGCAGACAAAATATTAACATTATGAAACGTTTTTAAACTCAATTTTAAAAATTTATATTTTAGCAGTAAATATCAGTGTTTCGATGTGTTTTTTTTCTCAATTTTAAAAATTTCAATTTTAGTAGTAAAAATCAGTTTTCGTCAGACACAAGTATTAACATTTTGATACATTTTTTGTATCAGTTTGAAAAACTCCTGTTTCAGTACTAAAAATCAGTTTTCGTCAGACAAAATATTAACTTTTTTGTCTGAATTTGAAAAATTTGTATTTCAGTAGTAAAAGTCAGTTTTCGTCAGACAAAATTTAAAGGTTTTGATACGTTTTTTGTCAAAATTTTTAAAAAGTCGGTTTTAGTAGTAAAAGTCAGTTTTAGTCAGACAAAATGTCAACATTTTAATACTTTTTTTGTCTTAGTTTGAAAAAATTATGTTTCAGTAATAAAAATCAGTTTTGGTCAGACGGAATATTAACGTTTACACCTATTTTTTTCAATTTAAAAAAATTTTATTTCAGTAGTAAAAATCAGTTTTCGTCAGACAAAATATCAACCTTTTGAAACTTTTGTTCTGTCTCAATTTGATATCCTTAGAAAAACTGTGAATTAAAATTCCAATTCTCGAGACACTTTTTTTTCTCCAGTAGTACCAGACACAACAACGCCGGGTCAAGCCGATCCATTGGACCCATTGAGCACCTTAATGGGTACAGCTGCCTCTCAAAGGTATCAAGAATACGTCTCACCACGATCATTATCAACCGATTCGAGTACAACTGAGAGTCCAGTTCATGAGGAGCAGGGTTTCGGGCAAAATTACGGAAATTATTTTCCCACACCCAGTGTATTGCCCAGTATTCTCTATTCACAACTTTATGGAAATCAATTTCCAAATTCTGAAAGTTCAGAGGAAAGATCAGTGGGCGGTAGTTGCAATGTAAGACAAGAGGAGGTCAGGCCTGATAATAATGTTTGGAGACCGTACTGAAAGCGAAGCAATAGAAGCAATTATTTTCTGCTTCAACATTTTTATCCAATGCCATGAGCCTTCCACACCATCTAAAGACTGTGAACAAAAAAAAAAAAGAAAAGAAAAAAACTTGTGGACAATTAAAAAAAAAACTCTTTCGGACTGTGGGCATTACTCGGATTCGACATAAATTCTTTTTTATTTTCGATAATACTAGTAACTAAAACAAAAAAAAATCTAATTCTGGTTGTGTATCGTCGTCAACGAATCTTAGAGAACGAAAAAATGTGCCGTGAGGTATTTATCATTTTTATTTCCACAAGTATAAAAAATTTTTTTTTTTCGCGTATGAATGATGAATGACGAGAAGAAAATAACACAATAATTGAAGAAAAAAAAAATTGTAAATATTTGTAAATAGTTGATAGAATATTGTCGTCCCATCGAACTGTAATCGCAATTTGAGAAACAAAAAAAAACCGAGAGATTATTTCTTTAATTATGTTTCATAGTATATTTACATATTATAGTTATTGTACGTTGGTATTTTAAGGGTTTGTGCAATAATTTGAGTTTCCTCAAAGAAAAATAAAAATGAAAACGCAAGTGTTCATCTCGTTCTGCCTTGAGTGAAAACGAAACATCGAGAAAAAATTTTCAAAATTTCTTTTTAGATCAATAGGAAAAAATTATTTTGGAAAATTAAAGTGAGGGAAAAAACATCGAAATTGTGCATCGAGAAAAAAAACAATTGTTTTATTGTTTGTTAGACAATTCTAATTATTTTACAATCTGAATTTGTTTTCTTTTTTTGTTAAAAAATTATTTACAATACACATATCTATCGACTATTGTTACAGTAGTTTTTGACTGAGTCGAATAAAGTGTATTTCAAAATATTTCGAGTATTTTTTCTCTATCCTCCTTTCTTCACATTTTTTTTTATCTTTTTATTATTTTACTCACAGAAATTATTTTCTTTCTTTTTATAATAAATGAAAATGTTATTGATTATTTTTAAATACATTTTTATAATCATTATTGGGAGTCTTTTTTAATACTTTTAGTATTTTAACAAAAATGAAGTGAAATTAGTACGGAACTATTTTATTTAAACAAAATGTAAAAAGAAGGAGAATATTCAAAATATTTTTAATTGTATTTTTATATTAATTGATATTAAAAATACTTTTTTTCATTTTTTAATACTTTCTGTTTAGTAAAAATTGAGGAAAACAGTATTAAGTGCATGTTTCATGGAAAATATGATATTTTGCTTTAAATTTGCCTTTTTTATTTTTGTTATTAGAAATTCAAAACCCACTTCTAGAAAGCAGTTCATCCCTAATTGCCTTTCCATTTTCACCCTCGTTTTCAGAAGCATATGTTCGCACTACCAAGTTACACGACTAACAGGACGAATCTCTACAAAGGATTCTCCGACGAGAGATCCTAAAGGATCTCCACTGACGAAACTGCATGCAAATTCGTGAAAGATTTAATTAAACCTACTGGATGAACTTTCTGCTTCATGCTATCTCACACCAAAAAGTTATGTTAAAGGAAAGTTAAGGGAAGAATGACACCAAAAAAAAGGAAAGAGAAAAGGAAAAGGAAAAATTTTTCCCTAAGAGAAAATGTATTTCAACATTTTTTATATAATTTGTAATAATCGTGTTATTTAATAATAATATAAATAATAATTATTTAGTTATTTTCTATTTTCCAAACTATTCATTTATTTGCTCAATTTAACGTTTCTTTTTTATTTTTTCACTTAAATTTTTGTCTTCGAAAAAATTTTACCTCGAATAGGGATTGAACCTTGGATTTCCATTTAAAAATCGAAAGCTCTGAGTGATGTCAATATTTTTTTTTAGTTAAAGTGAGAATTTTTTTTAGTAAAATAAAAATATTTGAGTAAAAGTGAAAGTAAAAACCTCTAGGGAATTTGACATTTTTGGAATAAAGGCAAAAATTTTTTGATCGAAATTAAAAATTTTTAGAGAAAATAGATTTTTTTAAATGAAGACAATATCCTTCTTTCGTGAAAGTAAGAAAATTTTTAATCAAAGTGAATAATTTCTTGAGTAAAAATAAAAAAATAGTTGAGTCAAAATGAATGTGAAAATTTTGTAGGGAATGTGAAATTTTTTAAATATAAAAACAACAAATTTTTGATCGGAATAAAGAATTTTTTTGGGAAAATAAATTTTTTTGAGTGAAGTTAATATTCTTTTTTGTGAAAGAAAGAATTTTTTTATTCAAAGTAAAAAATTTCTTGAGTATAAATAAAAATATTTGAGTCAAAGTGAAAATTTTGTAGAGAATGTGGTTTTTTTAAAAGTAAAAATTTTTTGATTAATAAATGAGAATTTTTTTCACAAAATAAATTTTTCAGTGAAGTTAATATTTTTTTTGGTAATAGTGAGAATTTTTTTAGTGAAAGTGAGAATTTTTAAATAAAAATATTTCAGTCAAAATGAAAGTAAAAACATTTTAGGAAATGTGATTTTTTTTTTTAATAAAAGAGAAAATTATTTAATCGAAATCGAAATTCCTGAAAGGAAGAATTTTCTTAGTAAAAATGAAAACATTTGAGTCAAAAAGAAACTCAAAACATTTTAGGAAATGTAAAATTTTTTTTAATAAATGAGAAATTTTTTATAAAAATTGATAATTTTTAATGAAATATAAATTTTTTCAGTGAAGTAAATTTTTTTAGTGAAAGTGAGAATTTTTTTTAATGACAGTAAAAATATTCGTAAGTATAAATAAAAATATTTGAGTCAAAGTGAAAATATTTTTTTTTTTTTAGTTAAAGTGAGAATTTTTTTAAGAAAAATAAAAAATTTCCTGTGTAAAAGTAAAAATATTTTAGTCAAGGTGAAAATGAATTTTTTTAAAAAAAGCGAAAATTTTTTAATCGGAATTAAAAAATTTTGGGGAAAATAAATGTTTTTGAATGTAGTCAATGTTTTTTTAGTGAAAGTGAGAATTCTTGAATGAAATTATACTTTTTTTAGAAAATGTCAAAGTGAAAATTTTTTGAATGAAAGTGAAAATAAGAATTTTTTATGGAAATTGAAATTTTTTGAGTAACATTAAAAATTTTTTAGGGATGTCAAAATTTTTTTTTATGAAAGTTGAGAATATTTTTAATGAATATGAAAATTTGTTGAGAGAAAGTGACAATTTGTTGAGTATTAGGCAAATTTTTTGTAATGAAGGTGTAAATTTTTTTAATGAAATTTCATTCTTTTAATGCAAGTAAAAGTAAGAATTTTTTAAGGAAAGTGAAATTTTTTGAATGAAACTAAATTTTTTGGAGCGAAATTTAAATTTTTCTAGTGAAGTCCAAAATTTGCTTAGTAAAAATCACTTTTTTTGTAATTTTTTTTTTGTAACAATGATTTTCATTTTTTCTTATAAACTTTAATTAACTTTGAAAATTTGTTAAGTGAAAGTAAAAATTTTTTGAGTGAAAGTCAGATTTTTTTTAATGATGGTGGAAATTACCATAATATTAATCATATTGTAACATTAAATCCCAGACGGGAAAAAGAAAAACTTACTGGAAAAATAATCCCAATTTCTTTTAATTTCTATTTAACCATACAAGTAGTAAAAATTTATTCAAATACTTTTTCCTCCTACAAACACTGAAGAAAAAAGAAATTAAAAACAAAACCGTAAAACTGTTTTTCCACTTGTTGACTAATAAAATTTAATTGCTAAATTAATTGCACCCGCACCCGGTGAAAATGAGAATATTCTTTTGTGGAGGAAACATAAAATGATGGGCATTATCTGTACACTGTTTTGAGAGAAAGTGACGTGCATTCTGATGGACGTAGAGTGATCATCAGTGGGTGGAGTTAGGTTTATACGCGGTACTGGCATAATGGAGTAGAGTAGAGCAGAGTATGGATAATGGAGTATGGAGAATAGTATGTTGCGAATGGTATAGCGTGCTCTCGCGAATGTATAGTGCGAGGGAGAAAGAGAGACAAAGTGAGCTCGATAAAGAGAGTGAGTAAGAGAGAGAGGGAAACACTCTGGGTATGGCTCGTTGGTTCGAGCAGTTGGCCATACCGATTTATCGTTCTGCCATCTGCACTACCGATTCACGGTAAATTCCCAGGTCGCCCTACACTCGGTCGCGATTTTTCAACCCACCAAAATACCAGCCGCTTCCTAATGATAATTACATGACAGTACCGAATGACCACGACGAATCATTAAACTCCTAATGAGAGAGCTGCCATATAACACAAAAATCGACACGCCAAACCACTCTAACATCAAAAGCCATCATTTTCCATTTTCTTTGACAGGAAATTTAGTTTCAGGTGTTGATAAAAAATCTTCTTTTCATTTTTTTATTCTTTGAAACACTAAAATAAAATGATTCTTCTAAAAGTGACATTTTTTATTTCTTGATTAATTTTATAAAATCTACTCTCTAATAATTATTGACCATCCTCAAAGCACTGTTTTTCTAAGTTAAATACAAAACAATTAAAAAAATTTTTTTCCAGTAAGTTTTTTTTTCCCTGTTTAGAATTTAATATTACAGTAATATTTCATATTTGGAACTGACGACCAAATAATTTTGTTTTTAATTCTCTCAAAAAATGTCTACTTTCATTAAAAAAATTCCTATCTTCATTAAAAAAATGTTTACATTTACTCAACAAATTCTTAATTTCACTTTCTCTCAATAAACAAAGTCAATATTTTTTTCAGTGAAAGTGAGAATTTAACTTTTACTCAAAAAATTCTTACTTTCACTTTCTCTCAATGAATTTTCACATTTAAAAGTATTTTCACATTTAGGTACTAAAAAAAAATTCCTCGTTCAGATTTACTAAAAAAATATTTACTTTCATTCATAGAATTCTTACTTTCACTAAAAAGATATTGACTTCATTTAAAAAAAATTTTTTTTCCAAACGAAATTCTTAATTTTTGATCAAAAAATTTCCATTTACACTTTGACTTACATTTTTTTAATTTTACTCAACAAATTTTCACATTCATATTACAAAAAAAAACTAAAAGAATTTTGACCTTCCCTAGAAAAAATTAATTTTACTCAAAAAATTTCGCTTTCTATAAAAATTCCTTACTTTCACTTTCATTAAAAAAATTTTCACTTTGACATTTACTGAAAAAATGTTTACTTTCACTCAAAAAATTCTCACTTTCAGTAAGAAAATATTGACTTTACTCTAAAAATTTATTTTCCCCAGGAAAATTTTTAGTTTCGATTGGAAAATTTTTGTTTTTATTAAAAAAAATTTACATTTTCTAAAAAACATTTTCACTTCGATTCAAATATTTTTACTTTTATTCAAGAAATTTTTTACGTTTATTTAAAAATATTGTCACTTTCACTAAAAAAAATTGACTTCACTTAAGAAAAAATTATTTTCTTTTAAAAATTCTCAATTTCGATCAAAAAATTTTCCCTTTCATTAAAAAATTTAATATTCCCTGAAAAAATTTGTACTATCACTTTGATTCAAATATTTTTATTTTTACTCAAAAATTTTTACTCTGATTTAAAAAATTCGTAGTTTCACTAAAAAAATTCTCAATTTCAATACGAAAATTTTTACTTTTATTAAAAAAATTTCACATTCTCTACAAAATTCTCACTTTCACTTTGAATTCAATATTATTATTTTTACTCAAGAAATTTTTTATTTTCGTTGAAAAAATTATCACTTTTACTGAAAAAAAATGTTGACTTTACTCAAAAAAATGTATTTTCCGTAAAATATTCTCAATTTTGTTAAAGAAATTTTTGTTTTTATTAAAACAAATCACATTTCTTTAAAAGTTTTCACTTTTACTCAAGAAATTTTTCACTTTCACTAAAAAAAAATATT